AGTGTGGAAATCCTTTCCAGTAATCTCATTTATCCCCTCAACAACCTTGTGAGGTTGCTTGCTATGTGTAGGTTACATTAGCATCCGACTTTCCTCCAAAGAACTCAGAGCATCCATTTAGGTCAGGGGGTGGGGAACGTGTGACCCTCCAAATGTTGTTGGACTACATCTTTCATCATCCCTGACCATTGGTCATACTGTCTGGGGTTGATGGGAGCTGAAGTCCCACAGTATCTGGAGGGCTATAAGTTCTTCACCCTTGATTCAGGCTGACAAGTTTGATCAGGCTTCAGTTCAATGGACTTTATAGTTGAGCAGAGACAAGAGAAGTTTTGCGTAGTGGTCAGAATGTTGCACTCAGACCTGGGAGGCCAGGTTGCAAATTTCCATCAGCCATGATGCTTACTAAGTAACCTTGGACCAGTCACCATCTCTCACCTCCTCACAGAGTTGTGAGGATAGAATAGGGAGTGGGGAGAATGATGTATACCACCTTGAGTGCCTTGGAGGAAAGTTAGGAGATAATTGTATGAAGAAATAAAATGTGGCTTCAGTATGTAAATATGTAATTTATTGGATGAGTTGAGACAGTGAAGTCCCTCACATTATACATCCCAGGTTTCACTACATAGCAGCTTTCAGACTTCAGATTTGATGCCTGAAGCAACCTGGTAGTCAGGTATGTTTGGGCCTTTTCCAGAGATTCATGCACATCCTAGAAGGATCAGTGTGGAGGTATTTGACTGACCTAACATCTCTTGTGTTTTAATACAATTGGGCTGGGATGATGTTTGCACTGGAGGCTGGCTTCCTGAGCTATTTTCCTAGTATAGTTTCTTAGGCGGCAATCCCATACCCATTCACTTGGGATTCAGCCCCATTGAACTCAAGTGGAATTTACTTCTGAAAAGTCAAGTATAGGACTGCAGTTTTAATCAGATTTGCTAATTAAAGAGCAATAGAGGCTATATAATAGGGCATGAAATGAAGTTTTTTCCCCTCAATAGCTTGTAAACGTATGCCCTGTATCTCATTGTAGGAAAAGTTGACCAGGGAGATTGTCTTCTTTCACCACCCACACAATAGCAACTGCAGGAAAACAAAACAAAGCTTCCAATTTACTATGTGATTTGTTACTGAAAGCAAAGTGGCCCATTAGCATTCCGTAGGCTCTAATGTCTTAGAAATCTCCACATGCTACTACTTACCTAAGAAATATTGTGTGTGCTGTTATGTACAATGTGTAGTTAAATTCTTAGTCCTGGGGAGCACACCTAGCATTAGACCACTGTATTCTATCTGCTCTGAGAGAATTGCTGAAGGGGGAAATGGACTTTTGGTGGGTGACTGGGTTTAACAGTGGTCTGTAATTGAAAGAAAATGTAGCGCACCACTTTAATGTTCTTTTTGTGTATGTCTAAAAAGAAAACAAGAAACTCAATGTGGCTTAGCAACAGTCTGCATTTTTCCCTTTTTTCTTTTTCTTTTGGAAAACAATGTCATGTGTGCACAGACTGCCGAAACAAGACGCATTATATGAACTGAACTAAGGGCCACAACAACTTTGTGAAGGATGTGGTCCTATGCCTAGGGCATACCTAGGGGTAAGCCCCGTTGAACTGAAAGGCAGTTACTTGTGAGGAAGTGTGTCTATGATCAGGCTTTGCCTTACATTAACTTAGCAGCTTCAGATACTTTGTAAAGACAGACCTCTTTGCCCAGGGTTTCCCTGAGTGACCCATAAGATTGGACCCTCTTATTGCTGAATTCATCTTTTATAATACTATTTTACTAGGTTTTTTATGTTGTATATCTTTGTTTCTATGATGTTGTGTTCCTGTATACTGCTATTTGGTTGCATGGACGTAGCCAGGATTTTTGTTGGAGGGAGAGGGAAGGACTTTTGTTAGGGGGGCAGAACTGACGTGATTGGTTAAGTATTTACCGTATTTTTCGCTCTATAACATGCACCCGACCATAACACGCATGTAGTTTTTAGAGGAGGAAAACAAGAAAAAAAATATTCTAAACAAAACAGTGGATGTATGATTTTTGTGGTTCATGCTGTGGCCACAGACATGTGATCTGACAGTGAGTTTGGAGTAGCCCAATGCAAAAATCCTGAGGATCCATGTGGATCCATGCTTTGTAACCACGTTTTTGCACCACTGCGGCCCCAGGCAACAGTGGGTGCGTGATTTTTTTGGTGGAAGATGTAGCCATGGACATGTTATGTGATCTGATGGTGAATTTGGGGTGACCCAGTGCAAAAATCCTGAGGACCCATGTGGATCCGTGCTTTGTAACCACGTTTTAAGTGGGGAGGGAAGGAAAAACACTCAAGGGACAAGGAGAAGAATACAGCTAATAATGCAGAAGAGGGGCTTAAGGGGAGAAGAAGCATGTGTGGGGTGGGTGGAGAAGGATGCTGCTAATAATGAAGAAGAGGAGTATAAGGGGAGAAGGCTCCTCTCCTCTCCTCTCCCACTTTGCTCCTTTAAAGCAAGCAGGCTCTGCTTTTCTCCCTCCTCTCCGCTCATCCCCGGCTTAGCGAGCTGAAAAACTTTGCTGCTATTTAGCGAGCTGAGTGGGGAGGAGAGAGGGATAGAGAGCCTGCTTGCTTTAAAGGAACCAACCGGACAGGAGCCGCTTACACTCGTGTAAGCTGCTCCTCTCCTCTCCCGCTTTGCTCCTTTAAAGCAAGCAGGCTCTCTGTCCCTCTCTCCTCCCCACTCCGCGGCTCTTCTCCTGCTTTGCTGTTTCAAAGCGAGCCACGGAGGAGGGAAGGAAGGGGAACCATGGATCCTCTGCTCACGACTGCAGCAGATCCCGCCACCCGTAGGCATTCCCTCCATAACACGCACAGACATTTCCCCTTACTTTCTAGGAGGAAAAAAGTGAGTGTTATGGTGCAAAAAATACGGTAAGTTAGTTACGTTAGTTAGTTAAGTATTTCTAATGTTTTACTTGATCTATGGGGGGCAGCTGCCCCCCCCCCCGTGATACTCCCATCTTTAGTTGTTTAGAAAGATTTCCAAATAAACAAATTAAATAAGGCTACCACCAGCTCCCAGTCATGATGGCTATGTTCTACCTCCTCTGTGAGAAGCATTATGCCTCTGAATACCAGTTATTGGGAATCTCACAGGTCGGCAGGTGGGCTGTTCTCCTTGGGTCTAGCTTGGGTCTAACCAGGCAACTGGCTGGCCACTGTGGGAACACAATGCTGGACTAGATGGGCCATTGGCCTGATGCAGCAGGTTCATTTTACGCTCTTATCTTCTTAAACTTTGTACTTTCTTTGGCTTCTCCCCCAGTCAATGAAGGTACACCTGCTGCTGGAGTGAAAGCTGGGAAAATAGTGTATCCTGTCTCTAGCCTTGTTTGGATGGTCCCAGCTTGGCTCTAATGTGGCTGAGAGTGCTTTTGGACAATTTAAGCCAACTGTTCTGCCTCCTGCAGGCAATGGGCATTGACTGGTGGAAGTGCACTGAACTGAACATAATTCCAGGGGGGGTAGAGTGCATGGAACATTCACATCTATTCCCAATCTCCCCATTTTCAGACTCTTGAAACACCTCTACCTATTTGGCTCCTGTGAATCTAAGTAGCTGCAGTTATGGTCGGCCTGTTAGGAAATTATGTGGCACTGAAATATGGGTCAAAGATGGCAAAAACAAGCAAGCAAACAAACAAATGAACACCAGTTGGCCAAGATCTTAGGAGATATAAAAGGCAAAAATTGCCTTCATACCCCAAATAGGGTGACTTCAAAATGTGGAAGCAAAACTCAGTGAAAAGTTTCATCTGTGTGATGACAAAGCTTATCACAGAGCTGCTGCTTCTTCCCAACACATTTGATCATTTTGATCATCAGGGACATTACATTATTTCAGTTTTGACAACATTTAGTCTGTGTAATTACCTTTCTGCCTTGTCCTTTAGGTTTCTAGTGCTACTGGCAATAGAATTAAATGTGCACCATAAACTACAGAAGGACAGTCTGGGTGTAGCAAAATGACACTTCCATGGTCTCCTCTTCTTAATCACCTTGGATGTAAACACATTTTAATCCAAGAAGACTGCTCATCTCAAACTGCTACACCTGACACAAAACTTAACTCTTTTCATGTACCTCTTCAAGTCCACTGTTCCATCCAGCAAACTGAAATTTTTGTAGCAGTCCAACATTGAATTCCACCCTATCTGTGTGGTGAAATGCTATACAGCTGTAGCCATTCTTCACATAAAGCCAGGTGATGGTGGGGATGTCTCCTAACATTTCCAGATAGGATTTACTTGCAGAATATTCCCTAAGCCACAAATTTAATACAAGCTTCATCATTTTCCCTTGACCTCTCTCAGGCCACTTTAGGGACACCATTCTTTAATAATAGCTGCAGTCATTCTTCTATAGTTGCTTCTGCCTCCTAGACATACAAACGTCAACATTAGGGAATTTCTGTTTCATGAATTTGAAGAAGGCTCCCTGGGCAAAAGAATACATATGTCAGGGTTTTGAAGGAAACGGAAAGAATTTTGAAAAGGTTAGCAGCAATGTTGTCCTGCTGTGACCATTTCCTTTCGCCAGAAGCAAGAGAGACTGCAATTTCTGTCCCCTTGCCCTAAGCTTTCAGGCTCCTACATGTGCATCATGTTTCCTGGGTAGCTCAGGCATTTCCAGAACAAGTTTGATAAATTTGGGAGTTTTATTATTACTAGAAGATGTGGGAAAGGGCTCTTGTTTTGTCTTTTCACACTTGATTTCCTCCTCTTCTTTTCCACAAAGACCTGCTCCTGGTGAACTCCTGGCTCCTGCCCACATTTAGCCATGTCATGCCAAGACCTCATGCAACCTTCCATCCACCTATTCCTCTCCAGACTTGCTCAGAGGCCTCTGTGAAGTGATAGTATTTCTCCACCTTTGCATCCTCCTACCTCCCTGTCCATACTCACAGGGTATCCAGGGACCAGGGTGGTCACCACACAGCTTGGGAAGGGCTGTAGCTCGGTGGTAGAGAATCTACTTTACATGCAGAAGGTCCCAGGCGCAATTCCTGGTGTCTCCATGTAGGGCTGGGTGGAAAATCTGTCTGAAACCACTGGAGTCATTACTGAGCTTGATGGACCAATGGGTCTGACTTGTACAGCACTTTTATGGCCTCTGGCTGTGAAGCAGCTTATAAATTCGTAAAATAAACAAATAAAATACAGTGCAGTCTTTTAGTAATTAAAGATGGTGATGATTTTAAAAACACACTTTTATTATGACTCTTTCTGACCTTGTCTTTCTCCAGGGCTTTTCCCTTTGGAGAGATTTACTGCAATTTTTTGTTTTCTAGCTCTTAGATATCCTCATGAGTACAGAGATGCAAAACTGTAGCAGCCTACACCTCCTGAGGAAACCTTGATCCACACCGCCACCCCTTGCAAGTTCTACTTTTCTCTCTTCTGCAGCAGTGTATGAGATTGGAATGTTGACAGTTAAGGTCAGATGTGCTGCATTAATAATTGGAGTACTCACCTGTTCTCCCCCTCTTTACCTTCCTCTTTGCTAAAGCAATATCACTCCTAGAACCAGAGGGATTTCAGAGGCTGTCATTGGGTCAGAGGTGTTTACTCAGACTTCTCAGTTCTCCGTTTTTATTGACCTCCCTATTAAGGGAAGAAAATGAAGCTTTTTTAAGGGTGAGTGACCAAGAACTATCCGACAGTCAACTATTGCCCAGTGGAAAAGGAATTGCTTCCGTTCCTTCCTTCCTCTAAAATCCTTAATCCAGATTGATCAGATCACTTGAAAGCAGGAGAGAACACTGCTTTTTGTAACACCGTGTGAAGAAGTCTAGGAAACCAAACAAGGCTTTGGGAAGTGTTTCCAGCGATTAAAGGTTTGTTCCTGCATCTGTATGCATATGCTGTTCTCAGGTACAGATGCTCCTTCCTTTTGTCCCAGTAAGAATCGAGAAATAAAGTCTACTTACACACTAAGGCAGTAAAGAGTTTTTGAATGAAACCAGGATTTAGTACCTTAGCTGTGTATTCTAGCCTGGTTTCCAGATGCTCTAACTGCTTTTGGCATGGCCAAGAGTGATGTGCAGGAAGCTGGCCATACAGGAAGTTTGCAGAATGCAATGTAGCCTCCTAGAGTAGCTAAGATATTTCCAACAGGCCTTTCTAGAACTTTGCATTCAGATGCCCCAATTTTGACTGGCACAACCAGTGGACATTATTTTCACTCCCTATTTTCCAGGATGGAGGTTCTTAAAGCGCAAAGTAAGTTCCTGCAGCAAGCCAAATGATGCCAGTGTCACTCTAGATGTTGCCTTCCCTGTTCAGATCATGTCTGGTGCACCCACTGTGCCAAAGGCTTGAAGTATGTGATGTGGTCTCCTAGAGGACTCATGGTCAGTTCTAATCTTGCTAAGTTCCCATTTTGCACAATCTGATCCCATTATTCATTTATTTCTTTATTTATATAGAAATTGTCTGTCTTACCCTTCTGGAGCTTATGCACCATTCCGGCAGGTTACAAAAATTTCAAATCATGAAATCATAAAACAAAACAAAACAATAAAATGCATTAAAAATATAGCATTAACAACACAAAAAACCATTAAAAATACAGCATACTCAAAGTTCTCTATAGCACTGGTGCAGCCACTGAGGAGAACTTATCTCTTGTTGCCATCAACCATGCCTTCAGTCTAGGTGGGACACAGAGAAGTGTCTCTCATTCTGGTCTTAGGGAGCAAGCAGGAAGGAGGTGTTTCCTCAGATATTCTGGACCAAAGACTAGTTATTTCTTTATTTGTTCATTTGTTCATTCGTTTGTTCTTGTTCACATATTAATTTTCACCAATGGGCCACATAACAGTTTACAAGATGCGATTGTAAGTGGAAGCCAATAGGTTTTGCCATGGTCTGATGATTATTGGCTTGTGGCAACATGGAAGTTGTTGCAACCAGAATTGCAGAATGCTTTCCCTGCAATATGGGAGACCTCATCAGTGTTGGCATTCCAACAGCTCTTGAAGACACATATATTTTAGATATGTCTTTCCCCTGAATTTGCCCTTTCTGGTTTTTTAAATTGTCATTTTAATTGTTTTAATTGTTTTGTGTTTCATACAGTGCAGTGCTACGTAAACATTTCAATCACAAAATCAGCTACCAACAGACACATTTGTACTAACCAAGGAAGGAAGGAAGGAAGGAAGGAATAGGGCTTTAATACTGTAGTTATTAAGTAATAAATAACCATGTGTGAACCAGCCCTAAGTGATATACTTACATTTGAGATCCAGCCCTTATACTATTTTTAATTGAAAGTATGAGGGGAGCTCATATGTTACTTAAATGGGAATAGTTACATAGGAGGCAAATAGAACAGCTGCGCATTTATTTATGGAAGTTTATGCTTTGTCGGTGCTTTCAGCTGTGCCAGTGATGCATCATAGCTAGATCATTATCTAATTCAGGAATACAGTAAATCATTATTATTTATATCACAATCTTGCCAGAGAAGAAAATGTAACAGGCTTAGATGCTTCCATTGAATGATTCGTGGATGAGGTGACTTCATGCTTTGCTAAATGCCAGAAAAATGTTCCAGATAATCCCACACTGAGGCTATGCTTCTTAAACACACCTTTGAAAAGGCTGTTTCAAATACAAGCAAGCTTCTGAGGAATAGGAAGTGAATGGTTATGCCATATCTTTCCAAAATGAAAACTTTGTTTCCATGGGATCACTGCATTCTGCAGGAGATACTGTGTTATAAGAAGGTCCATTTTGTACAAATAGGCATCAAGCCTTATGTGTGGTGGCACCTACACTTTGGAATTCCCTTCCATTACATATCACAAAGGCACTACCTGTATTGTCTTTTAAGCAACTATCTGAAGACTTTCCCTTTTCAACAAGCCTCGAAGGTGGAGATCTTTATCCCAGTCTGTGTTTCTACTGGATTTGAAATTGCTTTTATACGTGAAATCGTTTTTATTTTTATTCTGCACACAGAAGGAGAATGGAATTGTTTTGAATTGTATACATGGAACTTTTAATACAGTATATGGGATTGTCTCCAAATGCTTTTATTGTTCATGTTTTTATTGGGAAGTTATTTTGAGATACTTAATGGGAAGTGTTTCATAAATTGAATCTAATAAACAAAAATCCATTCTTTGAAAGCTGTGGCTTTGAATCCATGTAACATTGTATTAAAACTTGACCTGTGGGCTTGATCCGTGATGGCTGCTTTTTTTTGCATATGCACTTGGTGTTGATGGCATCATCAAGAAACATAGGTGAATGGAACTTAATTTCTAGAAAACAGAGTACATGAGGTGATAGGGATAGTGTCAGTGATAGGACTAGCAGTGAGAAAATTTGCTTTGTTCATTCTGTGGCCCAAAAGAAGGATGCTCCAGACAAACCCTGGTCAACCTTCTAGCTGATCAACCGTGGGCTCCTATCAGAGAAAAGATGCACTAGAGAAAGACATCTGATAGATGGGTCATAAGCATTACAGGTGAGTCAAAGATACTAAACCAATAAAAGATATAGTACAAGTTACATTTCTGTATTCTGTCCTGGTACTATGGTACAATCTAATTTCGACTCTCTCAGCTAAGTAATTTGCTTTCCCATTATTTTATTACTTACAGTAGATCTGTAACTTTGTTTGGATTGGGGATGTATTAGATTCCTAAATGACACTGTCACTGTTGCAGTTATTTTCACAATAATTTTAGGGATGTCAAAAAGCTGTCAACTCTTCTGGAATCAAACCATCTCAAATAAATAGCAAGTGGAGACTGCTCATGAATGCCGAAATGGGAATAGAGTCTAAAGAAAAGATGCATCCACGCCTGGTCCTTTCTTATCGGAGAATCACATCCTAGCAAAGGTATTTATAGCTAATAAGCCTCTATAATAAATAGCAGAAGTGCTTTTCCGTATGAGACAAGGAAGTCCTCCCAGAAGTAGCACGTAAAGGACATCTGCTTGTATCTGCCCCATCAAGTTTGGAAACAAGCTGGCCCACCTGGTCATGATGCCTACTACTTCCAGAATCAGAGGCAGCATGTTTCTGTGAGTACCAGTCGCTGGGGAGCGACAGCAGGAGACAACTATCGTGTGCATGCTCTGCCTGTGAGATTCCCATAGCTATCTGTTTGGTCTCTCTGGGAAACAGGATGACGGACTAGATAGATTTTTGGTCTGATTCAGCAGGACTCTTTCAGCAAGTTGTTAGGAATGGAAGGTAAGTTGTTTCCATATTTATTTTGGCTGGAATGTAGCAAATGATATTATGGTGGTTCACTGGCCAACCTCACAGCACTACTCCTGCGTTCAAGTTTTGCAGCTGGCCCACCTTTCTTGCATCTTTCCAGAGGCCAGGTGCAAAAGCATCCTCCCTGGGGGTGCTGGGACTCTTGTTTTATAACTGTAAGCACATGAGTGGGTGTGAGGATACTAGTGGGAGAGGGCATAGACTACGTAACACCTGCTAGAACCTCAGAAATATTGGCACTGTTTATTTAATAGTGGGGGTATTCACAGTAGACTCACTGAAATGAATGGGCCTAACTTAGTTGCATTCATTAATTTCAAAACTTAGTTGAATACCAGTCTAAGTCTTCATCTTGCCTTGTAGGGCAAGCACTCACAAGGCAACAATAAAAATTCTGAAAACCCAAAGCAATTGTACACTCATAAATAACATTAGCTTAAAAACATCTCTAGAACATCAGGAATTAGAGCAGTAAGCAGCATGGCAGAATAAAAAGAAGAGACCAGTCAAATGCCACAAGAGACTGGGGCAACTAGGGTACTGTGGAGAAGGAATTCCACAAATATTGGGACACCAATGAAAAGATCCTGTGCCTGGTACCCACTAACCTGATTGACTTTAGAGGTGGGTGAGAGTACAGGGCTTCTGAGTCTTATGGTTGCAGGCAGTCCTTCAGGACTACTGAGATAGTTCATGTGAGGAGCTTTGAAATCTTCAGATGTGCTAGGACAATGATGCTTCCAGGTTTTTGCAACATGTTCTTCTACAGCTCAT